GTTATCATATATCATCAAAAGACCTAACTTGATTTGATGAAAGTTGACCTTGGCTTATGCTTCTCTCTCCTCTTCACCTCACCCCCTCCCCCTTTCATCCTCTAATAGAACTCACCTTTCAACTTACCATAACTCCTCTCTCTTTCAAGAGGTCCCATTTTTTAGCCTTTTATACAATCTACCATAAACAATAAAAGTAATAACAATGTTGTGAGCTATTTTAGTTGCCAATAGACCAAGATTTTGATCAAAGAACTAATACTTTTCGCCAATGACATGTTGTTGGGTATATGCCATTGAAATCAATGTCATTTGTGACCATTATATACAACCTTAATATCATCATCTAGAGCTTCTGACATCAGTGGCTAGTAGCTAAGGATTTTTGGAAGTGAGGTCAGCTTTGAATGTCGTTGCAAGCTAGGACGACGTCATCGTTCCTCTTCGTTGCCATACGCTCTGATACCACTTGATGTAAATGATTGAATGACTAGAGGCAAGGAGAAGAAGAATGTGAAACCAAAAGAGAACAAAATAGCAAAGCAACAGTTAAAAGTTTCCGAGAAATAATAATAATCTCTTTTCAGGTATTCAGTAGAGAATATTTCTATTCTCACTATCACATACAAACAAAACATAAAACAGGAGAAAAAAAAACATAAATAGCTAAAGAATTTAAGTTTGCTTAAATGTAATTAAGCATCTATTAGAGTACATTGACAAATATTATATAATAAATACAAAACTAAGATAATTAGCTGCATCGTGTCATATAAGAGTCAACATTTAGTTATAAGAGTTGTTCTTGATGTGATACAAATGAAATGAGCGTCTACCCATGGACCTGACCGCAATATTATTTTTCTTGATTCATATCAAAACTAATAACTTTAGCATATCCCATATGTTAATGTTTTATAGACATTTTATGTTTTTTTAATATTATTGACAAATTAATCATTATAATGTTCATTAAAATTGGCATTTAAGAAAATATCTCTCGATCAAGGGTTATCACATATCATCGAAAGAATTAACTATTTTTTAAGAAAGAAGGAGAGGGGGGGGGTATGCCTCTCCTCTTTTTAGTTGGAGAAGCAAGGCATTTAAAATTCCCCCCCCCCCCCCCCCCCCCAAACACTTCCCTGCATCCCTTTCATCCTCTAATAGAACTCGCCTTTCAACTTATCATAACTTCTCTCTCTTTCAAGAGGTTCCATTTTTAGCCTTTCAAGCAATCTACTATAAACAATAAAAATAATAATAATGTTGTGAGCTATTTCAGTTGCCATTAGAGCAAGATTTTGATCCAACAACTAATACTTTCGCCAATGACATGTTGTTGGGTATATGCCTTTGCCATCAATGTCATTTATGACTGTTATATACAACCTTAATATCATCATCTTCAACAACTCCCCGTCTACATAAAGCCCTAAACACCAAAACACATAGTTTACATGTGCCCACTCACCCTCTCCAAATAGTCGTTGGCAAACCTATTATTACTACTACACATGTATTGAGAGGGACGGACATGACAAAAGAAATACTACAGACAAACAAAGAAAGTATGAGATTTTCAATCAATCAAAGATAAGGCACAAATTGGACAATATGCTCGTGAAGATCTTGTCAAAGGTCCTCCTTTAAAAAAGGGGAGAGTTAAAAATTTGTGTTGAAAGCGATTAGTAAATTCCCTAAATAATAAATCTGGATCATTACAAAGAGAGTTGCATGGTTTAATGAGTGCTTGTATGGATCACCAAAGAGCCATATGATTTAGTTTGTGGAAGAAGTATCCTTGTATTGTTAGCCGCATTTAAAGAGGGGGGGCATTCAAAAAAAGTGTCTTGTCCTCCAAATACCGAACACATATGAGCTTATAAGAAAAGAAGAAGTGTTCCCTTACTTTATTGGGAATGAGCCGTCCTTTAGAGGTCATGCCAAGGTACAAAGATGGTCCAACTAATCCATTCCTAGAGGACCAAAGCAACATCTTCAATAATCGCCAGAGTGGTTGTCAAGCTATAGTTGCAAAAACTCTCGCTATAAAAATGGAGCATGGACTAGTCAAATGTAACTAGAATTAATTGGAGGTGTTCGGAAGTGAATATCAAGTTGCATACGTTCTCATGTTCATGAGCCCCATTTACATTTCAATTTTCAAAATAGTTTAGAAAAAAATTAAATCACAAAATTGCTACTGTGATTCTTCATAACTAGAGTAATCTTCTCTATGCATATAACCAAAATCTTTCAGTCAATCTTTTCAAGTGATGAAGAAAATTTCATGAGGACCAAGTGTCTTAAAGTTTGTTCCATCGCCAATCTTTATGATTCATGCATTGGAGGTCCTCAAAATTATAGACACATCTTATCTTTTGAAGGAAGAGGGTGCAAAAGTCTATCACATACACAATGCCAAAAAGTAACACTAATGTTTCCTCTTCCAAAGATACTCCACATAGTGGTCATGCATGAACACACATACTCCTATCAATCTGCCACAGATGGATTCTCAATCACCATCACGCCAGGTTCCTCTATCATCAATGAATCTATTTTTCAAACAAAAACCTAAAAAAGAAGGCAATTATTCCAATAATGAACCAAAACACTATATAAATAGAATTGCTCTAGGCAAGCACATTGTTCCGTGATTCAAAGTCGATGAAAATTGAAGGAACAAATCCAGTAACCTGAATGTTACTTTTGAGCATGAGAACCTTATCATCAACAAAGAAAGCGTCGCTTAAAGGTTTAGTTTGGCTAAATTCTTGGATCAAATAAAGAGGTTGTCATGTTAAAGAGAAGAATAAAAAAATATGAAGTCTAGTTTTAAGAGTAGAGTGTAAAACTTGCAGGCTTTTGTGGTCATATTTTTATGGCTTAAAGATGCTAAAAGGCAAATTTAAAAAAAGAAGAAAAAGCTTCAAGATGCCAGCTTTGCTTTGAAATCGACTTAACCTGGACTAACTTCTATCAAAGGGATTAATGCAACCACTTATGACAGTGTTAGAGAAGGAATAACATTTGTTAAAGTGATGGGGCAGGGAATCTATTTTTGAACCTATGATAAGTATATTTAGCATGATATTCCTTCTGATCCTTGAATCATTGCTCAATGCTATACTTTAATTGAAGAACATAGATGTCCTATTGTCAATTGAATTATCAATTTGGCTTAATCTCAAAATATTGTCGAATGGGATGAGTTAGCTTACGACAAGGAACCTAGAGGTCTCCCAGAATGGGCTTGCTAAATGCTAGACAACATAAATATAGAAATATCATTATGAGAAGTTTATATATATATATATATATGGCAATTCAATCTTTTTAAATGAATGAGATATCATTTTCAAAACCAAGGTAGGGATAGGGAATCAATTGCCTTCAAACTTGTTATCAAGTAAAGCCATCATTCGATCACTAGTCATGAGATATTTTACTTCAAGTACATGATCTTTCACGCATAAAATTGTGCCAGTAAAATCACGACAATAACTTTGAAATACTTCCAAGTACATGTCGATGTGTAGGTTGACTTCGAAGTTTATAATTTAGATGTGTGGGTTGAAGTGAATTATTTCATTATTAAAGGAACAAGATGGTTACGACAACTTACCTCATAAGTCATGGTCCTTCATCTTCCTCAAATAAGGTTTCCATTTTTTCTCTGCTTGTTGCTAAATTGATGCAATCGAGGTGTTGGATTTTTCAAGCTTAACTTCCAACTTAGTGATAACAATCACAAAAATTGAGGTCCTCTCTAAGAAAGAGCTTGATGACCATCAAAAACAATTAAATGTGCTCAAAGAGTTTTTCTTTTTAAGCTTTCCACGATAAGAGCATCCCAATATGCCACCACATACAAATTTGGCTTATAAGCATATCATTTCAAAAGAGGATTGAAACTTCCATTATTAATCACCATATTTAGATGTATAAAAATTGATGGATTTGAACTCCATCGCTTCAAATCTCGTCATGGCATAATCTTCGAGCGACATGGGATTTTATTATGCTAGGTTTTTCTTTCTTTCTTTTTTTTTTTATGTTACAAGTTAGAATTAGCGGTGTTTATTGCCTCTTTCAACCTGTCAAAGAATAAAGCAGCAATTTCTGGACTCTCTTTTTTCAATCAGCCGGTGGAAGAGATGCTTATCTTCAGGACTCAAGGTTAAACCAATTGTTGTCTTAAGCCATGCCTTAAATGCTTAACCAGGACAAGTGGATTGAAGCATCAAACATGTGGAAACTTGAGGCAACGAACGAGACATATCTGATGTCAGTATCAAACCGCCTAAACGTAACCTTACCAAGTTCATTTAAATGTTAAAATTCAATTTAATCTTCTTGGGGCTTGATTAAATCATGGTCATTCTTGCAACTTATGTTCATGACTAACAAATTGATCATGATGGAACTCTTGTCATTGCTATTTGAAGTGCAATAAACACGTCAAAATTTTATTCCTGAATCTCTAAACTAAGCGAGATTGGTTCAGCCAAGCTTCCAATTATATCATCGATTCAAAACCTAGGAAGACCACTTCGAGGAAAATGGCATAATGAGGCAACAAGTGAACACCAAAACATTGAAAAGGACACAAGTTTTGAAAGATTAGTTTCCGCTGAAAAAATGAGTTGTTGCTAGAGAAACCTAAAGCTATGAACTTGTAAAAATATAACAAAATTAGCATCCAGAAATGCACAATGGAAAGATTATTGTCACTTAGTGAATAAGATAAAATAAAATTCATGGTTCAGTTGTAGCTCCTGACATAACAACACAGTTAGAAATGAAAGATGATGTTAAATAATACTCTTTCAGTTTCAAATAACATACCTGCAAAATAATTGCTTCAATAACTAGTAACTTAAACCACTAGCATCCCTTAAAATAGATTTATATCTAAAAAATGTGTGACGTCACATGATTCAGCAGCTCAAATCAGATTCAGTCCCAATTTTCAAATTTAACTAGCAACCAACCTGTTTCTGGCAATGATACCGTCTACGAGAGCAATCGCCTGAACATGAATTGCAATGGTACTCAACTGAAGGATCCACTGGCCGCATCATGTCATCAAGAAGTGCAGACTCTGGAAGCAGCTGTGGTAACATGGATGGTGGTGATGATTCCTGTTTTTTGGGGACATAACTTGATAATGACTCTGCATTTTCAAATTGGTATAGTTGGTCAAGCAGAGATGCTGTTTTCTCAGCTCCTACTTCGGGAGCACTTGTATCTGAAATTGAATGTGGGAAAGGATGGAAGTTGATCAAACCCCAGTGATCTAGAAACTCCATAACCTCTTGTCTAACACCTAGCTCTCCAGCAGATATCTCAGACAAATCTTTAACCTCCACTGGAGTCTGAGGATCAACGTGAAATTTCTTCATGATGGCATTTCGTATCTCCAAATATATTTCTGGCGTTCTACTCTCGGACTGCCCGTTAAAAAATGATGGCAACGCATGCTTCTCGAGTTCATGAATTTTCTCCCACGAAAACCAGCCTGCAAAAACAATGCAATAGGCCAACGGAAAACATGAGCTTTGTAAGCTATAGTGAACAATGTTCATTTTCTCTAGTAAGAACCCATTGGAGTAGTTGAAGTTGCAAAATAGGTTCTGAAAAATTGTTAAATGAAAAATTAACTATACTTCATTACTTAATCGGAAGTTGTCATAAATTAAACTCGGTATTGAAGCCAATATAAACCCTTCAAATGTATCTAAAGCATGTTTTCTATCTACAAACAACCAAGTGAGCCCTGTAGTGGAATCGACCAAAAAAACATTTCAGCAGTGCTGTTGAAGAGAAAACGAAGAAATTACGGAATAACAGCGTGAGCTAAACACCTAAGAAATATTAATAAAGTTGGACGCAGTACGCAGCAGCATTTCATCCAAAAACCCTAGTGCTGAGAAGAAGACCGATTCCACACTGAACAGCTAGAAAAACGCGAACCATTAACCAATCTCAACTACCTCGTCATGTTCTATTAACTCACCAGCTGACGTTGGGACTACATGTACGCGGACGCCTCTGGATCGCACGGCCTCAAACATCGCCTCCATTGTTGTCACATCCGGCGGCTCCACCGAACACTCTACAGATTTAATTGGATCTTCAAAAAACACTATCTCCTTTCCAACTTCTGCTACCACCGTCTCAACCATCGCAAGTCCCTCTTGCGGCGTCTGTGGACTGCCAGCAGCGATCTTGCCGGGGAGCTGCCTAGCTCGGGTGCAGGGTCCGTTGTGGCCACTGGAGAGTATGTTGAGGGCATTTCTCTCCTTAACTAGTCTTTTCGATGTGGAAGCGGAGACCACGGCAGCAGAGAGACTAGAAGCCACCTTCCTCTTCTGGCCACCGGTTCGCCGGCGTGGCCCCTCGGCTGGGGTTTCGGCGATAACTGCGTCTAGGTGCTCTGCAGCCACCGGAGCCTCCCGTCCACGTCTGCCCTCCATCATTGCGACGGACCTCTCTTCCACGCTTGCCGTGCGAAGTGAACAAAGCATCGGCCGTCACACTTTCTTCCTGAATCTCTATACTTCATACGTTCTTCGATTTTTTTTTTCTTTTTTTTTTTTTTTTGGTATCGAATCGTCCCGACTCACTGTTCCGCAGGGTGAGTTGGACGAGTTGAGCCACACCAAAGGGGGTGTTTGGTAAAGATACTTTAAGCACGATCTAGCCAAACACCATAAATAGGTTATATAAATTCATCTTAAAATTAAATCTACTTTTTGCTTGTTTGATTTACTAAATCCACTTGTTAGTTGGATTCAACTAATTTAGCGCACGAAAACAATATTGCAAATAAATTTATGTCAAACACCTCAAATTTGGATTTATTAAATCCAAATATCATTAAATCCAAACAATATTTCAGACACATTTATGTCAAACAATATTTCAAATAGTGATAGTTGGATTTAATTGTATTTAATCTTAATTGATTAGTAGCAATTAAAATAGTTTAAAATTTTTTAATAAAAATATTAAATGACTCAAGAAAGACTCTAAAATTACTAGCAAATAAAATATTTAAAAATAAAATTTAAAAAAATTAACAACTATTGTTGCTTTAAAAATATTTGATAGATTAACATGTCTAAAAAAATATATTATTTTTAAATTTTAAAAAAAATGTTATAAACATGTTATAGAATTTGCATGTTTTTATATATTTATCAACCACACAATCAGCTCCAAATCGATTATCTTCCTTAAAATGACGGTTATCAATGACTCAAAAGTTAACAATAACGTGGTCTTATAAGGGTTAAAGCATAAGAAATGAGAGAGAAAATATTAAAATAAGAATGACCACTAATGAATAGTAAAATGTATTGTTTATTAATCATTTTTTATAAAATGATTTATAGGAGAGAGAGTATAATATATGGTATTATATTTTATGTTTGTCCTTTAATGGGAGCTATGCAACCGATTAACTGGACTTGATTAGCTTTGGTTCGGTAGGATAGACTCGATCGGCTAGGCTATGTCGATTAGTTGATCTAGTTTAGTTATGACCCTCGATTCAGGAATGTGATAACAATATTTCATATAAAAATTTACAATAAATTACTTAATTATGATAATTATGTTTTAAGCTTCTCTTTTTAACTTGTATTTTAATGTTAGGCTTGTATATAACCCCTATAACTGCTCTATTAAGATAGATAATAAAACAAATCACTTTATAATTTTTATTTTTTTCTTTTCTCATGACTCACTCTTTAGTTTTCATCTTTATTGTCTTTCTTTGTATGTTGCTCTTTTTCGTGGTATTAGAAACTTTGATTTACTCATTCCTGACTCATGTAAACCTGAAAAAAACATTACATCTGGATTAGACACGGATAGTGTTATTGGAGGTGTTATTTATAATAAGATGATGTTATTTTGATAAAATAACACCATAATATTATTAATAACATCAAAAAACTATCATCTGCATGTAATTATATCGGGACTCCTGATCTAAACCAAAAGCCCCTAACGCTTCTCTCCTTCCCCTCTCGGATTTGCGGGTCTAGATCACTCAAAAGCATGTCAAACCCCCTTTTTCATCCCGCTCAATTCTTTTATTGACCAAGGGAGCAAGATGTAGTTGTCATGTCCTTCTTTTTGTCTCAACTTCACCAAACCCAATCTTGATTGTCCCGCTTCCTCTCTCTCAGATGAGGATCGTCATAGTCACTATGTTGCTTTGTTGTTCCTGCCATGAAGGACTCAAGCACTTCAGCTTTAAACAATGATTTTGCTTTGTAACATACATATAAGTTGATCCCTCCTTTTACCAAAATCCTCATCTAGCACCATTGTCAGTATGCCTTTCACCACCAGCAATTATCCCTTATGGAAGTATTATGTCCTAAAAATTATAAAAGCCGATGGGCTATTTGGATTCTTGGATTGGTCAATCTCTTGAAGTATGTCACTCAAATCAAGTCTATCGTTGATAACATCTCTGTGTTTGGATCTGTTGTTGATAAAGAAGGCATTATTCTCCACATCCTCGAGAGCTTACCACCTACTTATCAAGCCTTCAAACCCTCAGTTAGATCAAATCTTCTCCCATAAGTACTTCTCCCATAAGTATAGAAGATTTGTGCTCATTGCTTACTAGTGAGGAGATCAATCTATCCACAAATTTTCCTCAAAAGTCCACCAAAAACTAACCTGCTCTTCCTGTTATTGGAGGTTGTGAGAATACCACTTCTAAGCTAAGTACTCACAACAATTAACTCTACGACAAGCAGTTCCATGATCAAGTAACACCATCCAACTCCTAACTCAAACTGTGACATGCTACTACCTATCAAATCAGTCATAAGAAGGGTCATCTTGCTACCAACTACTGGCATAAAACCAACTTGAACTATCAACCCACAAAACGACAGAAGAATACGACCTTCCATTGTTTCTATCACTTACGATGTTGATTGATACCCTTTACTCAGAAGCTCCTGCACATCTTGTCGCTGATCTCAATAATCTACAAGAATCCACACCATACACAGTATTGATCAAGTAGAGTTGGTAATAGTGAATTTGTTTCCATGCACAACTCCATGAAAAGCTTGTTTTCAACCCTTAGTCATAAGTTTTCTTTTTCAAAAATCTTTCATTCCCCGCAAATTTCACATAACATTATTTCTATTTCACAGTTAGCAATAGACAATCATTATTACACTGCATTTGAATCTCATGATTACTGCATCAAGGACCACCATACTCAAGTCAACATATTACAAGGGTCTCATCGTAATGGTCCATATCTCATAACATCTTCAAATCACGCTCTTCTTGCCACATTTGCCCATTATGATCTTTAGCATAGACGACTGGGGCATGCAAAATCTCATTCTTTGGACGTTGTTTCTTGAAAATAACATCAAATTTTACATTCTAGTAAATACACTTTGAAAATTCTTCTATTAATGGTAAGAAATATCATTTTCCATTCTTCATTCTCAATAATCACATTTATGAACTTTTGTAATTAATTCACTCTGATGTTTGGGGTCCCTCCCCTCATTTTCTTTTCGAGGATACAAATACTATGTGATTTTTGTTGATAATTATCCTTATTATTTTTTGTTATACCATATGACATGCAAAACTAAAGTTTATCACATTTTATCAAAATTGGGCAAAGTGTTGTACTTCAGTTTAATACCCTTCTAAAAATACTAATAATTGATGATGGTGGTGAGTTCAAGAAACATATTCTCACAATTTCTTAACACTCACAACATTATTTATCAAACCTCGTCCCTCTATACCCTTCAACAGAATGGTATTGTTGAACATAAGCATATACATACTCTTGCAACCCATATATATTTCTCTATCTTCATTGGTTATCATGATCACATTAAAGGGTATAAGTGTTTTAATTCCAATAATAAAAAAATCATCAACTCAAGGGAGTTCCTCTTTCCCATATAAAGCTACCATTTAAAAACCACCCTGCATCAATATTCATCTATGACTTTCACATTCATGCCTATCAATTTTCTTGATAAAATACTCAACATCTAAATCAATACATTCCGGAACTATTATTCCTAAAAACACACATCAGATTACTGCTTCATCTCTCCCTTCTCTTCTGTTATATGTTACCTCTTGAATCCTCCATGTATTCATTCCCCAACTCTTCCTCGTCTAATTTTGAACCCTCTCACTTAATTGTTCCTATCCCATATCATCCCACGATCACTCGATCGAAGTCTGGGTATCTATCACCTAAATGTCAGTTTAATATTAATCACACCACTATCTAAAACATTCATATTCAACAACATTATTGGTGGCTGGAAATTTCAAGCGAAGTTCGTACTCCAAGATGTCTTGATTTGGGGATATGAGTAGTATTTATGTACCAGCCCCCAAGTTTTTGGATGCTCCATCTACGTATAATGTCCATTGAGGTGATCGTGAAAGAGAAGAGGGAGGTTCATCAAATGTAGGCACTGTATATTCTACCACAAAATTGACCAACACCTGTAATTTGATGTTTTGTCGTGGTATATAGTGGATGTTAAATTCTCTCAATTCTACTGACCATTTAACTAATCTTCCCGATGCTTTTAGTTTTTTTTAGGATAGCCGTCAGAGGGAGTTGTGTGTAGACATCGCTAGTGTGAGCCTGGAAGTACGGACGAAGTCTCCTTACTGAGAATACCAGAGCTAACGCAGTCTTATCCGCCATTGAATACTGACTTTCTGTTACAGAGAGAATCTTACTAATGTAGTATATTGTTTTCTCAACTAAATTTTCTATTTTAACAAGTACAAAGCTTATTGCATGAGGTGAAATAGTCAAATAGATATATAACATTTCTCCTTGAACGAGCTTTGAGAGGAGGGGTGATGAAGCCAACTATGCCTCGAGTTGCTCAAAAGCAATTTGACAGCCATCTTTCCATTGAAAACCAATGTTCTGAGCACCTTTAAGTATCTTGAAGAATGACAAATACTTATCCCCAAAACGAGCTAAGAAACGGGATAGAGCAGCGACCATTCAAGCGTTGAACCTCCTTGATGTTCCTTGGGGGCACCATTTCTCTTATTGCCCTAATTTTTTATGGGTTTGCCTCAATTCCACGATGGGTAACCATGAATCCCAGAAACTTTCTTAATGTGACTCCAAAAGTACATTTAGTCGGGTTAAGTCGTAAATCAGACGAATGAGTTGGAAACACTCCTCTAGATGAGAAATGTGTTGGGATGCTTCCAAGCATTTTACTAACATGTCATCAACATAAACCTTCATTGTACGCTCGAGAAGGTTTTTGAAGACATTGTTCATAAGTCGTTGATAAGTTGCACTAGTATTTTTTAACCTAAATGACATAACCTGATAACAATATAAGTCCTTATATGTTTGAAAAGATGTGGCCTCCTCGTCCATTGGCTTCATCTATATTTGATTGTATCTTGAATATGCATCCATAAAGCTTAGCATCTGATGTCCATACGTGGCATCGACGAGTTGATCCATGCACTGGAGGGGGAAATTATCCTTCGGACAAGCTTTTTTTAGGTCT